TATATCTCATGTCCATCTCAAGATTTTTTTATCTTAACGATTTTTAAAAATTTTTTTCATTTATTTCTGGCTGTGTTGGGTCTTCGTTGCTGTCCGTGGGCTTTCTCTAGTTGCCGCGAGCGGGGGCTACTCTTTGTTGCGGTGCGCGGGCTTTTAATTGCGGTGGCTTCTCTTGCTGTGGAACACAGGCTCTAGGCATATGGGCTTCAGTAGTTACGGCATGCAGGCTCAGCAGTTGTGGCTCGCGGGCTCTAGAGCGCAGGCTCACTAGCTGTGGTGCACGGGCCTAGCTGTGCTCCATGTGGTATGTGGGATCTTCCCATGTGGTATGTGGGATCTTCCCAGACCAGGGCTTGAACCCGTGTCCCCTGCAATGGCAGGTGGATGCTTAACCACTGTGCTACCAGTGAAGCCCTATCTTAACAATTTTTGATAGAAATATATTTAAGATTCATGAAAAGATATGGCTGTTTGTATATAGTTAACATAATTTAGTATTTGTATGCTCGCTTATTTATTTTTGTTCTTGTCTTGACCATTCAAATATTATGGGAAATAGAATTATGAAAACCATGCAAAAAACTAAAATTTGTACATGATCATTTGTTTATTCCTTTCTTGGGTCATCACTTAAACCACTTTCCCCTCCAATTCCTATCCTGACGGTTTTAAGTAAAAGCTTCTCAAAGGCAAAGCCAAGGTCTCTTTTCTTCATACAGCTTCACTTCACCTAATTCCTTTTACACAATGTGCATGTAAGTATTATTTACTCTCAAGAATTTAGCACTTTATTCTGGGTCATCTATCTTTTTGACCATGGAAACTGAAAAACATTCACTTTTTTTCAGAGTATAGCCTTAACTACAAAATTATAAAGTGACTATTACCTTTATAGAAATTAACCAGCCTCCCTTCAAAAAAACCAAGATGAGGAAGTGTATGTTTGACCATAAATATTACATCTCACTAAAATCTCACCCTTAATATTGTCCTTATAGAACTTATTGCTCTCTTCCACAGTACTAAAACCAGCATACTGGCGGATGGTCCAGGGCCTAAAGGTGTACATGGTGGGATACGGCCCACGTGTGAATGGCTTTACTCCTGGGAGTTCTTCAGGTAAGTCCTTGGTATCCCTGCTGGAATACAGAGGCTTTATGGAGATCCCCTCTGGGGTGTGCCATATTAGTTCTTCTGGGTTTTTGCCTTTCAGCTGCTTTTTAGCCAGGGCAGCCCATTCTGGGTGAAGGGGTTGTTGCTGATGCAGAAGTCGCTGCCATATAAGCCTGGAGCCTGATGACTCTTTCAGCTGCTTCAGGTGATGAGGTGAAAGCAAAAAAAGCCGACTCTTAGCCGTCAGCATGATGGAGCATGGAAAACACCCAACAGGAACAAGAACTGACCTAGAAAAAGAAACACAGTGCGTATGTATTTATAAGACAGCAGCAAAAGAGGAGCTTTTGGTGAAAAGGGAAAAGAGAAAGAAAGGGTATATCAGTATGATTTCATCTCTTCTCCTCTGCTGCCCCCTCCACCTGATATTTTATAACTCTGGTCCCTCTTTTCCACAACTGCTACCATTGTTCTAGTTCTAGTCCTCTCCCTCAAGAGACTCTTGGTTTTACTGACCAGTCTTACCCCCTCTCATCCACTCCACACACTGACACCAATGAAAATATGATCATGTATCACAGTTCTCGTAAAATTTTTCAAAGGCTCTGCATCATGTAGAGGATCAAGCGTTGCCTCCTAACTTTTTCATTCAAAAGGTTTTTATTTAACACCTACTTTACGACAGGCAGTGTTGGACGCTGAAGAAAAAAGTGGTGAACGAAACAGATATTCAAGGCTCCCATGACCTGATCCCTGCTTATCTCTCAGAATCACCTCTGCCTTTGACCTCTACACATTTTGTGTTCTAGAGATACTGGATTACCTACAGTTCCCTGCATACGTCAAAGTTCCGGGACATGCTCTTGCTCTTCCATCGACCTAGATACTCTTCTTTGGCTAAGGCATCACCTCCAGTACGCGGGGCTTTCTATGTGACAGGCACTCCTTAAGGACTTTATGTAGAGAAGCAATTTTAATCCTCATAACACCACCAAGAAATAGGTACTAATATTATCCCCATTTTACAGATGAGGAAGCTGAGGCATGGAAGAGCTAGCATTTAAACCTAGGAAGCATTTAACTAATATACGCACAGCCTGTCCCTGAAACTACAAGCTCAGCTAAATGGCCTCTTCAGTAATCCATACCACAGAGCTCTGTTTCCCTCTTTATACATCTATCATCTCCCACACTACAATATATTAGAACGTTGTTTTTTTATGTTCATATAAAATATTTCTTTATATACTTTTTATGTTTATACAAAACACACATATACAAAATTTCATATACTGTATATATTCTCCTCTATTCTATAAAGTGATCCAACATCAGAGCTGTATATTCCTGATAATTAGTGGAGTCTTTTTCATCATTTCAGGTAACTAAGTCCGATTTCATCATTTTACAGATGTAGAAATTAAAGTCCAGAGAAATACAGAAATAAAGTGGCTTGATCAAAATTCCACACAGAAAAGCAGTAACTGTTCACCTGAGTTACTAAATCCTTGTCCGAGTCATATAGTCTCAATATGTAGAGCCTAGTATCTTAAAAGATTTTGAGTTGCAAATTTTATCACTATATTCATCATGCCATGTAGTAGATAAGGCAATAGCAAAGTGAGCCTAAAATTCTATTTTCCATACTATTTCTTACCTATCAATTTAGTGGAGCTTAAAAGAAAATAAGAATACCCAACATTTGTTAGGGAGTTGTGAAACAAAAAGACAATCCACTGGTGGGAGTATTAACTGATTTAACTATTTCCAAAAGCAAAGTGGCAATACGCACAAAAGGTCTCTGAAATGATTATGCCATTCCACTGAGGGCCATCAGTCCTGGGAAAGTTACTAGATAGAAATACATGTTCCCTATAGTTTTACTTGTAGTAAAGAAAACTTAGAAACATCATCAATGTCTAACAATGAAGAAATAAGTGAATTACTGTATATACAAATTATAGAATTTTATATAGCTATTAAAATATGTTTAGGACTTCAGCAAAACTAATCTTTGATGTCAGAAGTCAGAAGAGTGGTTACGTATGGTGACTAGGAGAGAAAGGGAGCAAGAAAGGAGCTTTGGGGTGATGGTCTTGATCTGAATTCCTATTATACAGATGTGTTCAGTTTGTGGAAATGCCTCAAATTTTACAATTATGATATGTGCACTTATCTGTAAGTATATTATACGTAAATTAAAATTTAAAATATGTTATGCACGGTTTCTTAAAAAAGGAGATAGGCTCAAAAAGTATTAAGTGAAAGATAAAAAACTGTAAATGCAATGTGTTCAACTAGTCAAAAAAGTGCATAGAACAAAGTCGAAACAGAAATACAACAAAAACAATTCCTATTTTCTTTTAACTACAATGATTTTTATTCTATTAAATCCATGGGGTCCTTGTCATCCAAGTTCTTGTGAGCCATAAACTACAGGTACCAGCTTAAAAGGTGGGTGAGAAAAATAATTAATTTATAACTGAACCATTAGGATAGTAATGATATAAAAAGTAATCTGAAAACTGCCTGAGACTAGATTGCAGACAGATAATATCAAACTCATTTCACACAAAATACAGGTAGGGCTTTTCTAAACCTGGATAAATGATAGGAAAGAGCCTTATATTATATAAGCGACTTCCTAAAATTGCATGGCAAATTGGTAACGGTTGGAAATAGACATCACTTTTAGATAAGAACACAACTTCTGCTGATGGCAACAGGATTTCTGCATTCTTCTCATATCCATCAAGAGAGGCTTCAGCATCCAAAGAAGCAACATGCAAAGCAAATATAATAAGTTACTGATGGTTAGAATGTATTAAAGAGCAACGATGAAGCAAGCCTGACCCCACGCCCTCAAAAAATATGGGTCAAACACCTACATACAGCTCTGAATCAAATAACTTTCAAGTTTATTTACATGTGGTTCCGCACTAATACTTCAAGAAAAGCTAGCTTGGAGAGGACAACATATAGTATGTCAATTAAGTGTACTAGGAGCATAAATAAATCATTAACCATAAGAAAATATTGGGAGAAAATCATCAAATGATTTTAACTGTGACACACATACACAGATTATTCAGAGTTTCGAGCTTATGAAGGATTGCTCTTTCAAGATAAAAATGAGAACAAGTTAGTAATTTACACTTTCATGTCAACTTAGACCTGTCTTTCCCCCTCTCACCCTTACCTTCATCTGTACACAGAAAGACACTTCCACTCCCGCCACCTCTTACAAAAAACCCTCACAATCACCGCGGCCTAGACGGAAGGCAGCTGTGAAGCCAGCACATCCCTCTGAAATCTACAATCGCCCTCGGCCTAGAGAAACTTCGGGGTGCCTGGGGGGGCCAAGGAAGATGGCGACATGGCCTCTGGGACATTAAAGGCACCTTCTATCCTGCAGTACCTCCGGACTCCCCCTCGCTGAAAGAGAGCGGTCAGTGGAGAATCTAAACCTAAGAAGCAAGTAGAGGAGAGTGGGGTCCCTTCCCAGTCGTAAAGTAAAGAAGGAGGAAGTTGGGAGGTTGGGAGGAGGGAAAGGACCGAGGGTCAGAGGACAGGTATGGGGGGAGAGAGGAGTCTGAAGAATGGAGGGATTTGAACAGCTGACGTTCCTCAAGGTGCACGGTCTTACTCACGGGTCGGCCTATCTCGGACCGCGGATGCGGGAGAGAACGGCTGGACCTCGGCGCCCCCAGCCCTACAAGTAAAAGGTCCCCAAAGCTGGGCCTGCGACCAAGGAAACGCAAAGGCCAGCGAGACGGAACGGGGGCGTCGGCCGATACCACCCTCTTTCCAGCCAATCTCATTGAACTCTCGCGGGAGCGCTCCCGATGACGTTAGGGGCGTGGCTAGATGCCCGCCTCTCTCCACAAGCGTTTCCGGTTTCTACTGGTTCACTTCCGGGTCTCCGCGGCTGTGGAAGGTTTTGGCGCGAATTTCTCTGAGCGCGGCACATGGAAGGATTCAAGAGGCGTCTTTGGTGAGTAGTGAAAGCGCTTTCCCTGACGGTGGCTCCAGTTTGGGGATGAGTTTTGTGTCCGGCGCGTTGGTGGCAAACTCGGCGAGTCGTGTTTGAGGAGCTTGAGGTGGTTTTCAAAGAGCAGGGAGATCCGAACAGGTGTGCCCTAAGGAGCCAGCGATTGAAAAAGTGGTATTTGATTCCCAAGGAGGGAGTGAAGCCACTCATGTTTCCTCCCTCCTTTCCCCGAATCATTGTAATACTTGTTCTCCCTCCTTAACCTCTCCCGCAGTCAGTCGTGGGGCGAAGTGCAGCCTTAGTGATGAGTGCCTTTGAGCCTTAAGGAAGCTGTGTCGGCAGCGTTCGCTACCCCGAGGCCTCATTTGTCAAGAGGTAAACATTGTGTATTTGCAGTTTTGCCAGACGTTGTGCCCATACAGAGGTCTAGCTTGGTGGCTTCCACCAGTTTCAGCACGCTGGCAAAGAAAACAAGACAACCTAGAATATTTCCCTGTTTCCTACAGAGTAAAAAATACATTCTTTACTGCAGTATATAGTCTGGCTGCAAACTACAGTTCCAGTCTTTTTTTCTGTCCATTCCTCCCGTACATGTCAAAGCCTCTCTGAATTTTTTCTGTCCCTGAACAGACCAGTTTCTTTTGAAGTGTCCTGCCAACGGGCTTTTTTTCTCTCAAATGCTTTACTTCCCTTCCTTCTGGCTAAATATTTCAAAATGTAATTCAAATATTACTTTTTTCTCTGAATTCTGTATGTCCCCCCCCCAATACCCACACCAATTTGAGATATTCACTCATTTGTCTCGTAACATTTGTCGCATTGTGTATAATTGAATATACATAGGAATTGTTTTCATATGTCTCTATCTACTACCACTAGCCTGTGGTTTCCTGTGGATCCAAAACAGGCCAAAGTTTACTCTTCCTTTTTGTATATGCTACAACTAGCCCAATGGTAACAGTAGATTATTTTATTTATTGAGTTCTTACTATGTCCCAAGTTCTAGGCACTTTATGTATTCTGTACAACCTTTTAGCTTTACAAAAGCCTTTGATATTGATACTTCTAGCCGTGGGGAAAGTGAGCAAATTAGTTCCCCAAGGCTATACAGCTAGTTAAATGACAGAGCTGGGATTTGGAACCTGGGCAATTTGTCCTCATCCCCGGCTGGCTCTTGGCAGTGGTTCTCAACCTCGGGCAGCTTTGCACCAGCGGATATTTGATAACGTCTGGAGACAATTTTGGTTGTCACAACTTGGAGGAGTTGGAGGGGCTCCTGGCATCTAGTGGGTAGAGATCAAGAATGTAGCTAAACATCCCACAGTGCCCAGGGCAGCCCCCATAACAAAGAACTATCCCATGCAAAATGTTAATAGTGCTGAGGTGGAGGAACTTTCTGCAGTATGGCTAATTACCTCAAGTAGGTATCAGTGAAAACAGAGGTTTTCAGACTGTCTGTGGTAAAGGACCAATTTTTTTTTTTTAATTTTTAATCAGTCACAACTGATACTTTTGTAAAATACAATTTTAAAAAAACTGAATACTAGCCAAACCCATGAATGAGCCCTAATGTAAACCATACACTTTGGGTGATAGGATGTGTCAATGTTGGTTCAGGGACTGTGGCAAATGCACTGCTCTGGTATGGAATGTTGATAGTAGGGAAGGGGGGGTATGCTCGAATTTTGTACTTTCTGCTGAATTTTTCTGTAAACGTAGAACTTCTCTAAAAAAGAAAGTCTTTTTTTATGAATTATTAGAAAAATTAAACAAAAAGAAAAAACAAAGCCAGTTATTTTTTGGCCAGATCTAACATACATAAAATTGTTGTCAAATTGCCATAAAAGTTTCTAAATGAATACTTTTAATGTCTGTACTTTAAAAGACTGTAACAAACAGTTTGTAAATCAAATTTGGAGTAGCACTGAATTACATGTTACTGAATAAAGAATATCAAGAAAAACGATGAACAAAACCAAGCTATAAATAAGTGCCAAATGAAAGAGACCGTAAGAGCCCACAGACTTTTAGAGAGCGTTGAGGTGGAGTAGTTAGGAAGGCTTTCAGGTGCAGGTGGCTCATGACCTGAGAGGAGGTTGGGCACAGACAGGAGAGAGCAGCTCGGGTAGAGTATGTGCACTACTCAAAGTGTGTTCCGGAAATCCAGTCTATCTGGAGAGGGAGATGCAATTGAGGAGTAGTGGGAGAGAAGCATGGAAAGCTTGGCAGGTCTAGATTGTTAAGGACTATAAGTGTTATGGTAAAGAGTTTGGATGTTATAAGGTAGGTATTACGGAAGGATTTTTCTTTTTTAATTAAAAAAAATTACCTATCTTGTTCCAAAATTTGGGATTGGAAACAACTTGGTAGGGTTGTTTCCACGCAGTGTCAGCTGCAGTATATCGGCTCAGGTACATGCGCAAGGCTGGCAATCGTTGGTGTTAGCTATTGGTTGGGAGTTCAGCTGGGGCTTTTGCCTGGGTTTTTAGTTCCTCTCCGTGTTGGCCTTCCTCATAGCGTGCTAGCTGGGTTTCAAGAGCAAATATTCCAAGCAAGGGGAAGTTGCAGCTGCTAGTCTCTTCATATTTGGGCCAGGAAACTGGTACAGAATCGTTTCCACCATATTCTACTGCTCAAACCGCTGCACAGTCTGTAAGATTTAAGACAAGGGGACATATACTTCACCTCTCAATAACAAGAGTGAGAAGGAATTTGCACCATTTTTAGTCTCCTAAATGGAATGAGGACTAAATCTCAGCCTTCAATTGTTCTCTCACCCGGATGCTCTTCTTCAGTGAACAACTGTACTGTACATGGCAGTCCTTCCAGGAGAGGTCCACAAGCAAAACTCTCATATGGATTGGTTTTTAAGTAGGGGAAGTATATGGCATGGATGTCAAGTTGAGAGAATTTGACATTTCAGGAATGCAACAGAGGAGACTGGGTGTAGAATAAGATGCCACATTGTTCAAAAGCAGGGTAAAGTGTATTTTAGCTTCCACTGCTTTTTGTAACTGATCTGACATGTAGTCTCCAAGTATGGTATGTGATCTTTCAGTTAATTCTTTCTTTCCCACTATTTTTGTCTTATGGGAAAAAGAAAAGCTTGCACTTTTCCTTTTAAAATTTGAGAGAATAGATTTATCCAGAGTACCCACTTTATTGTCTGTCTCTAAATCTGCATGTATATTTAAATTGTAGTAATGTGATAAACTCTGAATTTTTAGAAAAGGAATGGTGACTGGTTTCTCTATATATCTAACTCTATATGTCTAGAAAAATATGTATATATAATGTACACACCACACATACTTGTGTGTGTGTGTATGTGGGTTTGTGTTCACATGTACTATACCAAACGTGTACGTAATTTCTTAGCTATCTGCTCTTTATGATCTAATGCAGCAATATATATTTTATTCCTCTGTTTCTTTTAGCAGAAATGAGTTTCGTGATAAAGAACTATTAAATGGGGAAAGGGAATTTTTCTAAATTTTGTCATTGACATTCTCATCCCCACTCCAGTGCCTGTTTTGTAATGTGTGAGAAGACAGAGTAATCAGTATACTTCTGTGCTTTTGTTAAAATGCACATAACCCAGTAAAAGTTAAAGCTTAACTTTTTAATTCTTAATTCCTTATGAGTGAATTTACCACATGAATTTCTACAACATAGATTCATGGTATAATCCTAAAAATTACCGTCTCCCATCTTTGACGTTAAGTTGAATGATAAATCCATTAAGCCTAAAATAAGAAGGCCTGAATGTTATTCTTTGAGTTGACATTATCTGTGACCAGAGTAAAATAACTTAGCACTATATATTTCCATTTTCTTCGATTTAAATATAGAGATAACATTATTGTATGGGGGAGTATAAAGTAAGAGGTGTAAAAGTGTTTTTATATAAGATTTTTTATTGCCATACAAATGGAAGAAATTTTTAGGAATGAAATTGAATTAGATATCTTTACTCTAATGAGAACCAATGTTATTTGTTTTAAAATATATTTAAATGTTTTAAAAACACACAATACTATCCCAAAACTTTCTTTATGATTTTTTTTTACAGGCAAATTTGGAACATTTATAGGTAGTCTTTTTAACAAAGTGTTTTTAATAAAACAAGTCTTTAGTGTTCTTTTCATCTTTACAGACATTTTGAAGCACTGTTATAGTTGTTCTGTTTACATCAAGATGTCTAGCAAAGCAAATCCTTCTAAGAAAAGGTCTCAACATTTAAAAAGAAATCCAAAAAGAAAAATTGATAATGAAGAAGCGGAGTTATCAGAGAAAGAGGTAATGAAATATCAAGTTTATCATTCAGGACTCTGATTAGAAGTATCTGTTCTATGTAAAGGAATATGTGAAGACTAAAGGTCAGCTTTACTACAAATTATAGTAATTCATATTCCACATATATTGTTATATGGGAGCTGTTGCAACATGGGTTGTAAAAGTTCTCACATAAAAATTGTTTACCTCAATTTCTAAAGATATTGATCAGAGAATTCTTTAGGGAAGAAGTGCGATGGGGCATTGCTAAGGTGTTTAAATAGGAAGACTGGGAATATAGTATACAGATTCTATGGCATTCAAATGTTAAAAGACAAGAGAATCTGTCAATTGATGGAGGAGATTTTTATTAACATAGAGAAAAATTAGTTTCGGAGGAATTAGCTTCTTCCTACCATAAAAGAAATAATCAACATTTTTTCTCTATTTACCCTGTATTAGACAATGCCTATATTTGTTTTTCAGGAAAAGTATATAACACTATTTCACAGGCAAGATGAGTATGATTTCTTTAAAACATTCTTTGACACCATATGAAATTCTATTATACTTTATCACCATTGTTCAGGAATTGCTTTAGTATATCCTCTGCTTGTGATAAATACACATCCTTTTTCGTTAGAAGTAGCAATATACTTTTTTTCTGTCTTGCCAGAAGGTAAATGAATTCTCTCCAACGTACATGACAAATCTATTGCAATAGCAGTATCTTTTCGTCTAATGTTTAATTCTTTGTGCATGCACATGTGTTTTTCCCTCTAGGTTAGAAACACAGCGAAAAAAAATAAAAGTCATCCAAAACACCTGTCTTCTGAAGGTATTCCTTTTCTATGTCTTGTTTAACCTATCTTTCCCAAGCTATCTATATTTATGAAAAAATTCTCAGCATCTTGTTTATGAGTTCTGCATAAGCAAAAGACAGTAAAAAACAGTTACATTCTTATTTTTGCAAGAATAAGTAGTACTGGTTGGTCAGTTCTTTTGGTCAACTGCAATTTTACTTACCACCTGTAGCAAAATACTGTGTAGGGCTCTAAGTTGAAATGAGCAAGAGAAATTCAAAGTGTACCCCAGTCTGAATTATTACTGATTTGTGATATACAGACACACCTACTGACTTCTCTTTGAGACAAATATGCTTCTGTTTTGCCACCACTATTTAGATTAGATTGGAACCACTAAGTTTGTCTGGAGTAAATTAGTTTGGAATAGTCATCTTTACTTAAACATCACTTCGGCATGGAAGAATTTTCTACCTCTCGTCACCCTAGACCAAGTTAGGTCCTCCGGTTTTATACTTCCATAGTGCACTGGACTTTTTCTTTTGTAATGCTTTGCATACCTGAAATGTAATTATTTAATCTCCCTTCTCTCCAAAACTAATCTTCATGTGAGCCAATAGTGTACCTCCTTTGTTTATTTTTTAAAATTTTTTTGCGGTACGCGGGCCTCTCACTGTTGTGGCCTCTCCTGTTGCGGTGCACAGGCTCTGGACGCGCAGGCTCAGCGGCCATGGCTCACGGGCCTAGCCGCTCCGCGGCATGTGGGATCTTCCAGGACCGGGGCACAAACCCTTGTCTCCTGCATCGGCAGGTGGACTCTCAACCACTGCGCCACCAGGGAAGCCCCTTTGTTTATTTTTTATAAGTAGAATAATATCAACAACCTAGTAGACACTGATTATCTGTTTGTGGTTTGGTTAATCTCCTTTGGTTCAGTTGCCATCCAACATTTGGCAGAAATCATTTTCTAGTCTTCTCAATGAAGCCCTTTAATTCAGGTCATTTCTGAGAACCAGACTTTTGTGTTGAATCCTAATAGTTGTAGCTTGGTTCTTTATTTAAGATTGTCTTGAGTTTGTATCCGCAACATCACTTAATAGTATTTTAGTTAACATAACAATAGCATATTCATATTCAACACCTGGCCTGTTATGGCTATGCAATAAAAAGGAAATTAAATAGTTTATACAGCTTCATAATATTGGTTCTGATAATTCCATTAGCTCTTTTAGATAAATTTATATTTGAATCACTTTTTAAGTAAAAACATACAAACTTCTAGAAAAACCAGAGTCTCTTCTTTCACTGGTGACAGGACAAGCAAAGCATGCTAATCTAAAACAGGTAAAGATCGCAACCCACAAGAGAAAAACCTGGCAACCTCTTTCGAAGAGTAGCAGAGAACATTTGCAAACTATGATGGAATCAGTAATAATGTGAGTATGAAACTTTTTTCCATTTCACTCTCTTTATTTCTGCTTATATGTTTCCTATAGACAGTATCCTTTTAAATGTTATTATCTACTTTATGGTGATAGAGTGTTTTTCTCTTTTGCAAGAAGATTTATTTAATGTCTTCTGATGGCCGTAGCATTCGGCAAAAATGTCTTTATTAATTTCAGAAACTTGGAATTTCATCAGTGGAATAAAATTGAAATCTTTGCTTGATCTGCTATCTACAACTTTTTCTGGTGAGGGATACTTTAGGAAGAAGTTAGCTCAAATTAACACTTTATGTGGAAGCTAACATGCCAAAAGGAATACAGAGACAGGATTCTGCCATCAGGGAGCTGAAATCTATCAGAAGAGTCAGGCCTATAAATTAATTACAACAATATAATGTGATAAAAAGAACTTAGATTATTCCTCTGCTTTAAATGTATTTAACATAAAAGAAAAAGTGATTGATTCTGCCTGGCTAGTAAAAAGGGGTACTTGAAAGATATCAGAGAGAAAAAGTAAACAGATTATACTAGTTATGTTTCAAACTAATATTTATTCAATCCCTATTTTTTCTCTTCTAGAGCAATTTTGAGTAACAGTATTAGAGAAAATGAAAAAATTCAATATCATCTGAACTTCCTAAAGAAAAGGTAATACAGTTATGCAATTAAAAAATGATTGAAATATAATTGAAAGGTTAAATGATGATTTGTCAGGGATTTGCGGGGGTGACTTATTGCTAAGATTAGCCACTGTTAATAAAAGAACATTACAGGGCTTCCCTGGTGGTGCAGTGGTTAAGAATCCGCCTGCCAATGCAGGGGACACGGGTTTGAGCCCTGGTCCGGGAAGATCCCACATGCTGCGGAGCAAGTAAGCCCGTGCGCCACAACTACTGAGCCTGTGCTCTAGAGCCCACGTGCCACAACTACTGAAGCCCGCGTGCCTAGAGCCAGTGCTCCACAACAAAAGAAGCCCCTGCTCACCACAACTCGAGAAAGCTGGCGTGCAACAATGAAGACCCAACGCAGCCAAAAATAAATAAATAAAATAAATAAATTTATTTAAAAAAAAAACGAACATTACAGCCCTTGGGAGTATGAGGGAAGAAAAAAGAGGATGACAGTATTTCAAACAAAAAAACAAAAATGATACTAATGATACTCAAAAATAAAGTTATGTTTTTATTCTATCTGTAAGATTGCTGCAACTGTGTGAAACCCTGAAAGTCCCTCCCAAAAAGCAGCAAGATTTAACTCATGTGTCAAGTCTACTGAAAATGGAAAGGGCACAGCACAGAGCTAATGAAGAGGGTCTGGCATTATTGCAGGTATGAAGTTTGAACAGGGAGTTCTTCTTTAGAGGGGAAGGGGGAAAAGACCAAAAAGTTTTTAAAATTGTCATGATATTCTTCAAATAACAAATACTAGATCTTGGACCAGGTTTTTCATTAACTTTTATTTTTAACAAAGCAAAAACTTTGCCTGAACTTTGGGCCTCTAAAATTAAGACTATTTCTAATATATTTGTAATTAAGTAGCAGTCTTATTTTTTTCATCAGACTTTAAATATCAGATTATAGGAATTCATCACTAAATGCTGTAGCATTTCAAAACACATTATATTAGTTTTTCTGTCCTGTATATGCTACTGTATTGGCAAGAAGAACACAGTCATCATCATTACTGTTTTTATAATCATTATAGATAACATGTAATGAGGACCTTCTATGTTCTAGTCACTGTTCAAAGCACTTTACAGTTATAGCCCTTAATGACTTAAAGAGACCTGTGCTATATTTCACATTTTACAAGTGTGCAAAAGAGACATATTGGCATTTCTAGCTGAACCTTAGAGTGCTCACAGTTATGATGCAAACCTATTAGTCCGATTTCAGGGCAAGGGATTCTTAATCATTATTCTGTAGAAGATAGTGGGAGATAATATTAGCTGTCATGATAAACTGCAGGCTTTTAATTAGTGGATACTTGAACAATTAAGAAAAGCAGCCTCGGGAGCTTATTAAATATTTATTAAAACTAAAACAGATTGGACCACATATCCGTTTGCCATTTTGAAGTAGTTTGTAGATATGGTCTTTGTTAGCAACTCAACTTTGTAAAGCAATAAGTTTGTTAACCTTTGTTAGTAAATACGAGGTGGTGGTAGTTTAAGCAAGGAATGCATCCTTAACGATTTCTAATAACTCACCATTCACAAATAGGTCATTCCAGATTTTCCGTATGATTGAGAATAACAATGAAAGGATTTATTTGTGAGCAACAGCTCTACATATATTCTAAATTTATAGAGTGGTATTTTTTAGTGGTTGCGTCACTTTCTTCATTGTATGCGATTGAATTTAACTTTCATCCCAATGTTACTACTTTGCAAGAGTATATTTTCAGTACTGACCCTAGCTCCCCCAGTTAATGAACAGTTGGATAACATTAATATAGGTTATTTTTTAAATTTCAGCTTTGTCTAAGATATAATTGACAAAATTGTAAGATATTTAAAGTGTACATCATGGTTATTTAATAAAACTATACATTGTGAAAGGATTTCCCCCATCTAGTTAATTTCCCTTGTCATCTCACTTTTTTTTTGGTAAGACCATTTAAGTTCTACTGTCTTTCAATTATATAATACAGATTTCAGTTATGTAATATCAGTTATAGTCACCATGTTTTACATTAGATCCGCAAACCTTATTCATTTTAGCTGCAAGTTTGTATCCTTTACTAACTTCTCCCTGTTTCTCCCACCCGCCCCCAGCACCTGGCAATCACTTCTGTACTCTCTGATTCTATGAGTTTGACTTTTTTTAAAGGTTATTTTAAAAGGTTTTAAAGTATAATAATGGTAAATGTTATTTTAACATTTAATATTTGCATAAAGTACTAAATCAGAGATAGTAAATAGTCTTTAATCAGAGACAGTAAATGATAGTGTGATTTTTGTAACGCTGGGAGGCATTTCTCTTTTACACCTAAAACTGGATCTCCGTGTACCAAAAGCATAAATAGACTTAAATGGAAAAAACTGTTGTTCTATACTCGCAACACTTCTGACACCAAATTTGTGGGGTTTTCATACCAAGCAATTCTCCACTTCTCTGTGGAAACCAACTGGGTGTCCTACAATTCAATTCTAACACTAACTACCAGGAGTTAGCACAGACCCCACAGGTTAAGGGCTCAGTCCCACAGAACTGCCCCCACTTCAGATGCCAGTGCAAGGCCAAGCCTCCTGTACTTCTGACCAACCAAGTATAAATCGGGGCTTCCCATGACCTCCTCCTCCGGTTTTATAATTTGCTAGAACAGCTCACAGAACTCAGGAAAGCACTTTATTTACTATTACAGGTTTATTATCAAGGATACAACTCAGGAACAGCCAGAGGGAAGAGATGCATAGGGCAAGGTATATGGGAAGGGGCACGGAACTCCCATGCCTGTTCAAGCACCTCCATGTGTTCACCAACCTAGAAGCTGTCTGAATCCAGTAATTTAGAGTTTTTATGGAAGCCTCAGCATGTAGGCATATCTATTATTAACTAAATCTCCAGGCCCTCTCCCCTTCTCAGAGATCAAGGATCCAGGCTGAAAGTTCCAACCCTCTGATCACAGGATTTTGGTTGCTCTGGCAACCAGCCTCCATCTTCTATGAGTTATTCATTAGCATAAATTCCCGTATGGTTGAAAGGGGCTTATTATGAATCACCAAAAGTACTCCTCCCACTTCAGTCATTCAGAAAATGCCAAGGATTTGGAAGCTCTGTTCCAGGAATCAGGGATGAAAATCAAAGGTATATTTCTTATAACATCACAACAGTCTAATGTTTGCTTGACAGTCAGTTACTCAGTTGAAGCACTGTTGGCATTTTGGGCATAAGAGTTCTTCATTGGCATAAGAGTCTTTGAACTAGGAGTTTGTAGGTTTTATCTCTCCAATGTGCCTTACTTAGAATGGCTTTTTCGCACTGCAGCCTAGAGTTACTGCTGGTGATGACCTTCCAAAACCTGTATCAGTTACCAGTAAGAGAAGTTGTGTTCATGCAACAAGGACACATTCATTGAACTCTCACTGCTGGTGCTAGGGAAAGGCAGTGGTGAACAAAGTCTTTTAGAGATACCGAGAAGATGGTATAGGACCTGCTGGGGCATAGTTTTTTTTGTTTGTTTTTTAATTCATTTAATTAATTAATTAATTAATTTTTTACTTTTGGCTGCATTGGGTCTTCGTTGCTGTGCGCCGGCTCTCTCTAGTTGCAGTGAGCGGGGGCTACTCTTCATTGCGGTGCGCGGGCTTCTCATTGTGGTGGCTTCTTTTGTTGCAGAGCATGGACTCTAGGTGTGCGGGCTTCAGTAGTTGTGGCACGCGGGCTCAGTAGTTGTGGCTCACAGGCTCTAGAGCACAGGCTCAGTAGTTGTGGCACACGGGCTTAGTTGCTCCGTGGCACGTGGGATCTTCCCAGACCAGGGCTGGAACCCGTGTCCCCTGCATTGGCCGGCAGATTCTTAACCACTGCACCACCAGTGAAGCCCTGGGGCATAGTTTTTAATCTCTCTGGATCTCACAACCAGAGTTAACATAAGAAAATATTAGAAGAAGGACAAAAAGTAACATTTCTACAGACAACAAAAGCATGCCAGAAATGTGTGTTCACAAAACAGATGAATGCTAACCTAATTTCCCAAGTGAGCTGAAAGAAATTTAGAAAAAGAATAGAAGGTATGAAAAAAGTCATAAATATTAGAAATAATAAAAAATGAAGCTATGGAATTCAGGAAAGAATTAGAGCTAAAGGAAAAAAAAACTTTTAGTAATGCAGACTAAATTAGAAGGAGCAATGAGCAAATGAACAGAACAAATAATACTTAAATAAAAGGTAAAGTAAGGAGAAAATTTTAAGACTCAAAAAGAAAGAATGACTTTTTTTTAAGGTATTGAGAAAAAGTGACAAATATAAAAGTTTGGCAAAAAAGACACAGCATGGGTATGGTATGAATACCCAAAAAAGATAACCAAAGCAATGGAACAAAATTAATTTTTTTAATTATACTGAAAAATTTTAGTTCTTTTACATTAACCCTTTCCTTCATTCAGTGCTATTATTCATTCCCTTCTGTAGTGTGTTGAATGGTGGCCCACCAAAAGATATGTCTAAGTCCTAATGCCTGGAACCCATGAATGTGACCTTATTTGGTTTAATAAGTGTAGCTCACAGACCCAAAGTCTTGGGTACTCAGGGATTAGCACATTATTCCTATAAGGGCCAGGTGATAAACATTTTACTCTTTGTGAGCCATGTATGGTCTTTGTTGCATAGTCTTGTTTTGTTTTTTAACCATACTTTAGAAATGTAAAAACCATTCATAGCTCTTGGACTGATCAAAAACAGCCTATGGGCAGTTGCAGACCTCTGCAGGTACCTTTTTTAATGGTTACTAGAAGCCATAATATATTTGTTGAGGAAAATTACTGTAGTTGACGGTAAAAATTCGGCTTCCAGTATTTGGAGAATGTTGTAGATGTAAGTATCAGCCATATCGCTCCGCAGGATTTAAGAGTTATTATTTCTGTATGACTTCTGTGTGGCTTCTTTACTTGTTCCCTGATCCCCAGGGGCAGTGCTATCCTTGGCTGTTGCTAGGACTAGATTTGAAAGCAGTGCAGTACTTAATACCATTTAGAAACCTGGAAGCTGGCTAACTGTATGTGTGGCCTGCAATCCATACACCCCTGATATCATTATACTCATTTCATTCATTTCTTATTTTCTCTTTGTTTTCCCCCATAAGATATATATATTTTTTTAGGTGGGAAACTGCCACTCATTTTCTATTACTATCTCTGCCCTAATGTTCAGCGTTTCTTTCTTTTGGCAAATGAAAATAGCACTCAGATGTTCCTAAATTAAAGTTAGAGTTTCTCTGCTGTTACATACCGCTTAAGGAATGCTCCTGTACCTGTTGCCATCAGTCCTTGGGCTCTGCTAGATTCACACAGGTCTTCCAGGATATCTGATGCCCGCAGTTTTGGTAAGTTTTTGAGGAAAGCTTCACATACATCTTTGTTCCATTGGTAAATCAATTTCTAGGGAGTCTGTTTTCTGAAAGAAAAATGAAAATTATCAGTTTCTTCCAGAAGTGTTTCAATATATAAGGTGTTTTTAAAATATGTATTATATATTAATAGCTGTTTGGGTTTCATTTAATAGTATATTTAATTTAAAACATTAGCTTTCTCTCTCTGATGCAGGAAGAAACAGATAAAATAGTGGAGACTGTAGAGTCAATGACTGGGGATATTCACAGCCTAAAGAACAAAGTTCATGTTCTGAGAAATGAGGTAGAAGAAGAGGAAAGGAAGGTAAAACAGGTAATTGTTTAAAAAAAAGTATCGCTAGAATCTGGATATAATTTTTCATGATTAGATTCTACCCAGACAGCTTTTGAGTGTAATAAGAGAAGTCAGCCTTTTGAAATAATCTAGCTTTATGAAATAATCTGTAGCTTTCTTTTTCTACTTTAGATGTTTCAAATAGATAGTGAGGTACTCTCTCTTCCCGAACTTTCTCAGAAGAGTCTCAAAGCACCCATACTTCAGGTAAGTACCAATTTACCATATTAACTGCATCACCAGTTACGAATTGTATATATGTATAATCATTATACATATAAGTGTATAAGTATAATCATTCTTGTCAATAGCGGTATAGCATTCCATTGTATGGATGTGCCATAATGTAGTAATTTGTGAAGATGATGGAAATAAATAATTCTTGCTACTACAGGTAATACTAGGAACATCCTTGCGCATATATCTTTACACATTTGTGCAGTCGTGGCTGTAGGACGGGTTTCTGGAAGCAAATCCTGACAGCTGCTTTTGTTTGTGCTTCTGATAATGGCATGTGCAACTTTTCCTAAGACAGTACTGTGTCCCATTTGGGCATACACAGCACATTGCTAACTTACCTTTGCAAAGAACTCCCATAGGTATTATAGTGTAAGTGTTTACAGTGGTAGAAAACCTTTACGTTTCCCCAGAAAGTAACAAAATTTTCCTGTCTCAAATCTACCTAGGGTGAGAGGAATGGGAATGGGCAGAGGGAAAACAGAATACCATAGATTTAAAAGTAGAATGACAGTGAGTTGATGATAATTGAAACTGAGTGAAGATTATATGAGGTTTATTATACCATTCTCTCTAAATAACATACATATAACATTTTTCATAATGAAAGGTTAAAAACTAATTATATGGGTAAAGGTGGTCAAAAGGTACACACTTCCAGTTATTTATAAATAAGTCATGGGGATGTAATGGACAGAATGGTGACTAGAGTTAATACTGTATTGTATATTTGGAAGTTGCTAAGAGAGTAGATCTAAAAGTTCTCATCACAAGGAAGAAAAAGTTTGTAACTGTGTTTGGTGATGGATGTTAACTAGACTTACTGTGGTGATCATTTTGCAGTGTATACAAATGTCAAATCATTATGCCGTCTGCCTGAAGCTAATATAATGTTAATATCGATTATCAAAAAAATAAAATTTAAAAAATGAATTATTGTCATGCTCACAGAAAGAAATTTTGATGCTAATTCCAAACCAGAACGCTCTTCTGAAGGACTTAGATGTTCTCCATAATTCACCCCAGATGAAAAACATGTTAACTTTCATTGAAGAAGTCTATAAAAGACTGGATGCCTCTTAAAGAGTTTATTGTTTTGTTTTGTTTGTAGATTGTTCCATATGAATTTAATGTTTACGAATTTGTAAAAATGTTATTCTACGTGATATTGCCGTGGCTGAGGCTTCTTCAGGATTCTCCTAATATGCACTTTAAAATTAACCTCTATAAATCTACCATTAACCTCTATACATCTATTGTAGGCCTTGAAAACTGTTTTTATCAATTCCCACATCTAGGAACTCACATTTATGTTGCTGTATTTCCAGTTATTTGCCTTAAACCCTAAAATGAGAACAGCCACAATCTGATGGTTTATAATGGCTGAATAGAGTTCATTTATTGGTTAGTGCAGAGGAAATATGATACTGTGACTTAACATATGTAAAGTGTTTATAGTGCCTAGCACATAAACATGTAAGTGTTTGGTATCAATATTGTTTTTTAGCTGATGACTTGCATTTTCTGTCTGGTCATGTGGAACTCTAGAAGTCCCCAAATGCCTTTGCTCTTTTACATAACTTCCTAGACTTTTTGTGGCATAATTAATATCTGCCAGGTGTCTTTAACTTTAGAGGTAGCATGAACATTTTATTTCTTTGGTTAGGTTAGTGAATAGATGTTGAATATTTATTTTCTACTCTCATCAGAGCATACCTTTATTTCATAAAATTGTTAAAAACGAACCCATGTTCATTTATTCCCTTAAAATAAACACCAAACCAAAAAAAAATCCCTTCTTTCTAAATCTTTTCTCATTGCGATAATAAGCATATACACATGAAGAAATTATCACTTAAATATATTAAAAATCATTTTTAACCAACCACAGTATATTGTCTGGGTTGCTTTTATCTGTTTATAAAATAAAATAACTGTAATTTAATTACTTTTCTGTCTAACCTAGAATGTTTTGTCAGTTAATTTAGAGGGTGCTATAATTTTGTTAATGCCCTCCAGGCTGAGACCACCAGGAAGACAGCTTCAGTTAAATAAGTTGGATTTAGTGCTCACTGCAGTGAGGGAGACCACACGTCATGGGGAACCCTGGGCAGCTCAGCAAAAGCGTCAAAAAAAAGATCTTAGGAAATAATGGTCAAAAAGGACCTTAATGGATCTTAAGGGAAATAAAGTCTTCGAGAAAGGAAACCTATAGTGCAGCATTTAAAGAGAACATTACAGTATATACTTTGGACTGTCTGCTACATGCCAGGCAAAGCAGCTAAAGGAAAAAAATTTCACAACATGTCTTAAAACTTAAAAACCCTTGTGTTTTTAGACTGGCAAGTAGAGCCCCAAATCACTTTTATCATTAACCATGACATTTATAATCTCTTTTGGTGGGGATGAAGGAGTTACATTAAGTCTGCTGTTTCCCTCAGAACATCTGTTTAACAGCTGATTGAAAGTCAACAGGAATTTCAACTTACCACTGTTGCTGAGGGGTAGTTCTCTACCACGCATAAACTGGTCATACTACCCTCTTGTAGCTTTGAAAAGTACATGATCTAATTTTGAGAGACGTACAGTATCTTCTGGCAGGTAGCAGGCAACATACACAATATTTTCTTCAAAGGTTGAATTGTGGTATACTCTTTGTGAAGAATTTAAGAGTTAATTACAGACCCAAATAAAATTGAAATTCAACTGCACAAGGTCCCAGTAATTCAGATGGTCATCTTATGTAGTATCCTCATCTGTCTAAATTCTCACATACACAGGCCATGCCAACTATCATACACCTTCTCTCCGGTGACTGATAAGTGCCCATGCCAGAAACTTTAAATTCTAAAAGATAAATATTTTGGAATGGAGCCTATATGGTGTAAAAATGTAGCCTGTAATAAAGATAGAATATCGAATAAAATGTAGAGAAAATAAATTATTCAATAAATGGTCTTGAGAAAGCTAGCGAACCAACCGCACTGGGGATGGAGGTGGAGGGTGGTGGTAAATATTCCTACTTTATGACAGAATAGATTCAAAATAAATAAAATTAAATAGAAAAATAGAAACTGAACAGAATTTATGAATCAATAACTGATGTCAGTGTAGATAAAGCCCGACAGACATACTTGTTTTGTAGTACTTCACTTTATTGCATTTCGCAGATGCTGTGTTTTTTACATACTGAAGGTTTGTGGCCACCCTGTTTTGAGCAAGTCTATTGATGCCATTTTTCCAACACCATTATTTTTTAATTAAGGTATATACGTTTTTTAAGATATAATACTGTTGTACACTTAGTAGACTACAGTACAACGTACACGAAACTTTCATATTCACTGTGAAGCCAAAAAATTGTTGCAAGATTTGCTTTATTGTGGTGGTCTGGAACTGAGCCTGCAGTATCTCTGAGGTATGCCTGTATTATTCATATAAACAGAGACAAAACCATAAAGAAAAAAAAATTAATAGATCATTACATAAAACTGAACTTTTTAAAATAAAAATTAAAAAACCAAGCCAAAGACACAGCACAGACTGAAAAATATCTATAGCATATATAAAACAAAAATAATATCTTTATTCATAAAGAGCTCTAAAATACCAGTAAAAAATAGATTAAATACCAATAGGAAAATGGACAATTCTCAGAAGAAAATACATAAATGGCCAGTAAGTACTTGAAGGATTTTCAACCTTAAAATAATCATGTAAATGCAAATTAAAACAGCAAAACTTTTTCACCTATCAGATTGGAAAAGATTGAAAAAGGCTGAAAGGGAAAGTCGCTGAACATACAGGAAAATGGGTCCCCAATAATGCTGCTGAAGGAAGGAGGGAAAATGTTGTAATTTGGGGGGGGAAGGCAGCCTGTACAGATGTTACAGAAACACAGTTTACTGTCAGTCATTTAAAATTATTATTTTATATGGGTTCTACCATTCTCCAGCTTTCCGTTGGGCATATGTTTAACAAACAGGTTTTGCTTAAATATGAGACACCTGCCCAGCAACCTAAAATTAAGGGATTTACTTTCTTTCATTTGGACAGAATTTCTTGGCATTCTCTATTTACCAGAAATAAATGCAGGTGCACCTGTCAGCATTAATATTTGAATCATTTAGGTTGGCTTAGTTTCCGAACAGAAGTATCCTAAATCCTCTCAGGTTTCATTCATTGTCAAGAAATTCAGCTTTAAGGAAGAGAGAGGAAAGAAGCAAAGCAAAAGCAGAGAGAAATTCAAATTTCCCATTTGTGCTTTATTCTGTCCTAAGTGACTGATACATTTTTCTGTTCTAACTAGTTTTCTCATTAAGAGTTGCTACCCTTGAATGTATTTCTCACCACTTAACCACCACACAACCACTTTCTCTTGCCTTAGGTGTTTGTCTCCTCATTAAAGTGACAGCTGTTTGTAGCAACCATATCCAAAGACTGGTTATACTTGTTAAAATTGGACAAAGAGGAAGATGAAGGAGTGATGTTTTCCAAATACAATAAAACTTAGAGTACTTTTTTTACATAGACTTTTTTCCTTTTTTAACTAACAGAAACAAATGTGCCTTAGCCAGTTTTACCCATTTCCACCTCCAAGGAGGTCCTTAAAATTAAGGTAAGTTTTCAAATGGAATGACAGTGCTGTATAACAAAAATAACAATGGTTAAAATGGCTGATATTTATTGATATGTGCTATATGCCAGGCACTATTCTAAGCCCATTACATGTATACATGCATTTATACCAATGTTTAATCCTAATAACAACCTTATGGGGATTAAACTTCATAGCAATCACTGTTATTCCCATCCTGCATAATCAGAGACAAAGGAAGCTAAGTAACTTTGTTTTAAGATCACTCAAATAGTAAGTGGTGATAGAGCTAGGAAGTAAAAAAGGTCAGGCTGTTTGTCCTATAGAGTTTTAGCATTTCCCACAGTCTGTTTACTGTCCTGTCCCTGAGATG